TAATTTATTATTTTTTAATAAATATAATATATAAATTATTACATAAAAAATAAAAAAATCTGATTTATGTTATTCAATAAATACCACTGGATCAGGATTTCTGTTTGGAGATTTTGTGCCTTAAGGTATTACCGAAGTATTCTACTTATCAACCTCTCCAACATTTCTCTTTCTTTTTTAAATGATTTTAAGCACACATCGACAAAATCACATTTCGAAGGTCTCAAAAAATATTCATAGTTACTTACTATACTAAGAAAACTATAGCATTTCAGCAGCCGTATTCTTAATATAGGGATAGCTCTTGGAAACAAACCACTTTTTTCATCTTTAGAAACGCGAATCTTGTCTTCTTGGTGTATAAAACTTGAACACATGCTTAAAACTTAGCTGAGTTTGAGTCCAACCCTTAGTACTTGAAGTCAATTGCCATTATGAACAATTATATCCAAAAAAATATTTTTGAAGATTGTCGATAATAGACATCTGGTAATATCCGAAAGAGCTATAGGGTGATCAACTAATTCAATTATTTGTATTTAAAATTTAGTTGTTATATATTGCCATGTTCTCCTTTGCTATTTTAAATAGATTTTTTGTCATATATGTCCTTAAATAAATTTAAAAAAGTATTAATTTTTGTGTATTAAATATTAAATAACAAATATATTAACGTTTGTTTGCTATAGCTATTATTGCTTCATACATGCAATTAGAAAGATATCGCAAAATTTATAAAATCGATTTTATATAGATTTTATATTTTTTTTAACATATTTTTTATTTTTATTATTTATTTTTTTGTTTTTATTTTTTATTTTTTATTTTTATTTTTATTATATATTTTTTATTTTTTATTTTTTATTTTTATTTTTTATTTTAATTTGTATCGAAATTTTATTATTTCATTACTCAGTTCTAATAAATCCACAGTGAAGTAAGTATATTAAAATTACTCTAAGCAATGCCTGTTGTGCTTCTATCATTAAGCACCCTGTTAAGTCCTTTTTAAAGCAGTTTTATCGGCCCGCATTTTATTACCTAAATAAGGCCGCAAATAATTCCCAAAAGTGTAACCGACAATGTTTGATTACTGGCGCGTCAGTCGTAGTCGTTCGCAATATTAAACCGTAGCAGTTAAGGATGTTTACACACCCACACGCTTCCAAATTAAGGAAAAAGGTTAGTTGAAACTGTGCTTATATGTCGGAATGTGAAATGTTCACCTATCTTATATCCTTCCCGAATTCTTTACCTTAAAGTTACAATGAAATTATTGACTTTAACTTTTTGACCTTTTTTGCCAGTTGAATTTTTTTCGTGTCATTACAAAGGATATACACAATAATGTTGATTTAAATGCAAAATTTTACAATTTTCTCTTGCGTACTTGAAACTACTAAAAAAAAAAATTGTATAGTGAACTTATAAAAAATTGGTTCCATTGATCTCTTTATGTAAGAGTAAAGAATGCTGCAAAAGACCGAGGACAGCTTCAAGAGTCAATGAAAAAAGTAACTCTTATTTAAAGTTAACGAAAGAATACCTTTGCATTTGCTTCTTTGAAAGGTCATACGTTTGCAAAAAGATTCCAAAAATAAATTCAAAAATAAAAAAAGAGAACTTTTTTTTTAAGGAATTCTTTTGTTATTGTTTTTCTACAAAAACTGTACTTGGAAAATATATTTTTCAGTTTTTCCTCTTATTTTACTTCAATTTATTTTCTGCATTTTTTGCATGCAATTACAGCGTTTTTTTCGCCTCAAACAAAAAATAAAGAATCTTTTTCGATCTCGTTTCCATTTTATTTATTTTAACTTTTATTTTATTAAATTTATTTTATTTTACGGATGTATAAGGACACCAATTTTAAAACACTTGCGGTACTTTTAAAAAGGTCAGCAATTTATTTTTTCAGAATAGCACAAGATCTTCGGAAACAAACTTGGGTTACATCAAATAAAACAGGATATTAGTTTTCAGTTAAAATGAAAATGTATAGTATTTCTACTTATTTGATATATAATATTGTGTTTTATTGAATTTTTTAAATACTTTGATATGCATAGTAAATTAATTTAACCCTTAAACCCAAGATAATATTACTCATATACATAAATCGTATCATGACAATAGCATGATTTCGTTGGTTGGTTGCATTGGCAGGCCATTAGATAGCTGCCATGTACCTCAATTAGCAATTTTGCGCCATTTTGCCACCACATTCCTTGCAAAAACCCTTAGTATTTAAGAGTAGAGACTAAATCCATCTCGTCAAATTTAGAAAATGTAATAGGTCTCTCGTCTTCACCGATGAACAGTTTGATAAACTGTTCAAGAAGTATCTTCCTAAAAATCTATTTCTTCTGAACGCCGAAGCTGAACTCCGTTCACATTGAAAATGTATAATGGTTTCTTTTTCCAGCGGGTTTCCACAACTTCTTCAGTGAGGATAGATAAAGAATATGCAGTTTCTCTGCGTAGGTTACTAAACACCCATGACCAGAGAGAACTGCAGTAAACCTTGTAATGTAGACGGGTCTCTTTTGATGAGTTCAGAGTATCTAATTTCATTATAGGTAGGCCATGTTAACTTTAAAGTTGCACATGACTGACCAGAGACATGACCAATATACACCAATGACCAGAGACAACTGCAGCAAGCCTTGCTGTGTTTACGCGGTCTCTTTTGATGAGTTCAGAGGATCTAATTCATTATAGGTGGGTCATGTTAACCTGGAAGTTGCAAATGTCTGACCAGAGACATGATCAATGATCAGACATTGCTGCAGTAAGCCTTGCAGTGTTCACGCGGTCTCTCTTGATGAGTTCATACAATATCTCAGAGGATCTAATTTCATTATAGGTGGGCCATGTTAACCTGGAAGTTGCACATGACTTAAGTGTTTTCCATCTATTATTGGCAAGTTGAAGTAAGTAGAGATAAATACTTCTCTAAATGGCCTGTAGCGTAATATACACCGGTACCATCAGAAACACATCCAAGGAAGCACCACAGCGGACTAAACTTCCTATGTCCAGAAACCCAGATAAGGGTGAAGGGATAGCATTATTTAATAAATATAGTTAATAATCTTAGTAAATCATAAAATAAATTAAGCAATTTATTTCCAATAAAATGCATAGTCAAAACTGCTGAGTTGTTATTTGTTGATAATAATCCAGAGAAAAAGAAAATAAAATCCTGTTTCATCAAAAAAATCGTGTTCAATCAAAAAATTCCTGTTTCATGTAAGAACCAGCATAGCACATAACACCCAATTCAGCAGGATGATCAAAATATTTTTTCATATCTTTGTTTTGTAAATTGGAACGAGATAGTATTAATTCAGTTTGCACATATTGCTATGTCAATTTCCCTGAAGGTTATTTGACTGTTATCCTGTCACTGCCACAAAGAGTAAAATAAATAACGTTTTTCAGAAAAATAAAAAAAAAAAGAAGCAGAAAAACAACAAGAAGCAGAAATTTTGTCGAAAAGAAGTGCTCAGAAAAAACTTAATTACATTTTTCTGTTTGCTTTTCCACAACATTTATAATTTTTTCATTTCATAACTCTCAGATGCCACGAAAACCATCCACTTTAATTATTATCCTTTTGAATTTACCATACAATGCCAGACATTTTCATATTATTTTTCTTTACATACTTTTTTTTTTGTTTTTTTTTGTATTATTTCAACTACAAGTGCTGACATCCTTGCGTACACACCGAACTGTTCTCCTTGAAAGGAGTTCATAATTTTCTCATTACTTCTTACTTATAATTTTCTTACTTCATAAGAGTACAATTCTTCTTTTAATTTTAATTCATTTACCCAACATTCTTATATTAACTTATACGTATATGTGTACGCTGAAGATAAGCTATATAATTAAAAATTAGTAATTTTAGTTGTGAATTTTTTGAATGAGAAATTTATTATAGTTCATTTTTGGACATAAAAGTTTGTTGGTACCCCTTATCTGATCGAACTAACACAAATTTATTATAGTTCATTTTTGGACATACAAGTTTGTTGGTACCCCTTATCTGATCGAACTAACACAGCTGTTATCCTTGAAAACGTAGCTTTATTTATAGCGTTTTTAATTGACTGATCTGGATTCAATCTAGATTTCCTTTCGGTCTGTTAAATTTTATAACCCAATCGAACGTCTTTCGATGAAATCACAATTTACCTGCCATGTATTTTAAAACTGGCAATAGGTATATCTAGAGTGTTGTAAATTAATCTCAAATTCTATACATTTCGCTACAAATTAACCAATGGAAAATGAAAATTACACTAATGCTGTTTTCGATTGGTAAATCTGGATTTAATCTAGATTTACTCTAAATCTATCAAATTCTGTTATCCAATCGAACATTTTTAGAGTTATCTTATATTTTTGTAGTAGTATTAGTAGACATTTGTATATTTCAGATATACATATATCAAATCAAATCATAGCTCATCTGTCAAATCATATAAAACATCTGTTAATTTCAGAGTAATTTTTATACTCTGGCAAAATATCTAGAGTGTTATAAACTAATCTCGAGTGTTATACATTAATCTCGAGTGTTATACAGACTTACCAAACGAAAATGAAAATTACACTAAAAGTTCATATTAATTAAAAAAGTTACTCTAAATTTACCAATCGCAAACGATATTAGCTTATAGCTTTATTTGGTTGTTTCACTTGCGCTTGAATGGGCAAATCAAGCCCATTCGTACGTTGACCACTACGGTACTTTTTGGGATCCTTCTAGCCTGCATCTAAAAAAACACTTATTCGGGTTGCCAGAAGAATCCATTGTTTGAGCTCAATTGAACTTTGGTGTACCAGATCACTCCACCCTAACCAAACATATACAATATATTGTATATATAATATATTATATTATTTTGTAACATTTAATTTTATTATATTTTTTTTCTACTTGATTAATAATTAATTTTACATTTTTACAATTTTGTTTTTATTTACAGAATCGACTTGCCGTTATACTAAGAGCGCTTGGACTGAATGTGATGCCAAAACCAATATGCGCTCCGGAACTTAACATGAGAAGGCGAAGCCAATTGTTTACCCACCGAACTATGCAAAAAGAAATGCAAGAAAAGTAAGATAAATACAATGAAAAATTATAAATTTATTATATACTTATTTTGTAAAAAAACTTATTATATGCAAGGTTAACACCCCGGTGTCTCCGAAATCCGGCCCCTGCGCTGTTAGAATCATGTCACATTAATCGATGCGCCTGATGGCCTACAAAGGGTCTTCCAACTTGATTTGTAATTATTTCAAATCATTATTAACAATATATATAATATATTAATAACGCGCATATATAAGAAAAGATATATCAAAAGTTATATATTAACTTTAAATATCGAGATTTTCGAAAGTAGTTGAACAACAAAAAATTATTTTATATTATTTTGAATGAGATTGAATTTTGACTGACCATACGGCCCTATTTCGGTATTGCCAAGATACCTCAAAGTCGTCTTGGAAATAAATTTTGTATTTTCATATCGTAAATAATTTTGTGAGACTACAGAGTACCAGGAATCTAGCTCGTGCCCTGTCAAATTAAAAGGTTAGAGTCCACGCTCCTGTAATCACTGACGTAAGCCGTACTTAAGCTTATGTTCGCCACATTTTTCTAAGTTGTTAGTTAGTTATCTGTGAAAGTATTATGTAGCAAATATTCTTGTTAACAAAATAATGAAATAATTATA